TGCACGTTGGACATCCCTCACGAATGTGGACGTAACAAAGGTGATACTCGTCACAAGTCATACGACAGATGCGCCGGCGCAGGTCGACAATAGCGTGTCTATCACTCGTTCCCTCGCGACCGTCTAGCCAGGACGTGAAGGACGTTCCTTCACGTCGGCTCGCGTTCTAGCGCCTGATGAAGGCACACCAAGATCTCTGCAACGCATCGTCGGTATATGCGTTGTTCGTCGCTTTGCCTCTCACTGTACGGTATCGCGTGAAAAGGTCCTTCATGACCTCCAGTGGCTCGGGTTCGACAGCACCTTAAATACCATACATACGCCACGGTTTCAAGTCCCCATCCATGACCTGCGGCGCCTACTCCCTTCGGATTGTCGCTTGGTATTCCCAGTTCTGGCTGTCAGAGACATTGTTTCGTGGACGCCTAGGGTCCATGCTGCTCAGTTGTGTCTAACTGAGCAGGTTCAGAGTTACGCCGTTGGTCGAGAAGAAACTTTCTGCGATTCGCGCTTACGTTAAGGTAAGCGCAACTTAAAGAAAGGGGGATGATGTAATGGGTCAACCTATTGCATAAGGGGTTATAGGATTAATACATAATTACATAAGTAGGCATAGGGCAGTATCCGATTAGCGGATACTGCGCGTCATTCTATTATTGGTTCATTATTGGGGTGCCAGACCCAATAATGAGCCAAAAATAAATTGACTTCCATATCGAGTGGATCCTATGAGAAATTGACTTCCATATTGAGTGGTACCCATGAGGTAGGGGACATATTCGCACTTACTGCGAATTAAAACAAAACAAAGATAAATTAGAGTTATAGCTACAAGTTAAATGAAGAGCGCTTCCTCAACGCTCTTTTAGTGTCAGACGGTAACGGGTCCTTAGCCCGTTACACCCTCCGACAGTTGGCAGTCCGGAAAAGTGAGTGGTTTGGGGTCTTGTCATACAATTTTGAGAGACCACTCCACCACAAAGCCATATTGGCCAAGTGAACACTAAGGCGCTCGCGCCGAGATCATCGGCATTACCGCGGGACGTATCATCTGCACCAAAAGGTCAAGCTGACCCTCCACTCGGGTTCGACTTTGCTCCAGCGACTCGAGGAGAATATTCATCGTCTGCACAGTCTCACAGAGATGCTTCACCTCTTGAAGTAGCTCGGCATGAACTTGTGTCAGTACACAGGCCCCCTCCAGCATTTCTTGATGGTCAGGGGAACCTTCAGTTCCATGTTGAACGTCTGTTGCAGAAACGTCGCCGTCATTATAAAAACCAGTATCTGGTGAAGTGGCGGGGATATCCCGAGTCGTGGAATTCATGGGAGTTCGAGATTCCCCTTCAGCAGGATTGCCCATACGCAGTGGACGTTTTTGAACGTCGTGCGCAGGGCCAACCTGTTGACGATGACGCTTTTCACCAGTAGTGGTGAGGGTAGGCGAGTTAGCGGCCTCGGCTTGTCATGAACTCGCGGCTACAGGTGTAGCCGAAACGCTGGAGTGCTAGGTAGCAGACGCATATTGCGTTCGTTAAGACTTCAACGTTCCTCGGGCCTTCGGTTTAGCGTATCGTAGCGCATTTTCCGTTCGAGACGAACATCTGTCACGTCGGCACTTGCCCGTAGAGCCCACATGATTCATAAAACGTCGCGCATAATGCGCCCAGCGGATAAAACCGTATCCTCTTCATCCTCGGCTTCTCCCGCGAATAGAAGGATGGGAACACCCTTTATGGGAGGAACTGGTGCACCGCGCACTTGCCTGTTAAGGCGTGTCAAGTATTGGCTTTGTGTAGTGATGTGGGGTTCCAGATATCGTTGTCGAAGTGCCGTGCGCGTGGCAACATCCTCAGGTGAAATGGCCTCAGGCCCAATGGTCCAACCAGAAAGGGAATGTCCAGATGCCACCTTAAGGCGTTTATCCACTGTAGGTGGCTTGAATCTGTACTGTCGGTGGTCCTGCAGTCTCGTCATATTCTTCGTCCGGCGCTTGGCGCCTTCCTCTTGGTCGATGGACCGCTGTTGCTGCTCGTCGAGTGGGTTGGTAACTGTTACCGTTGATGATACGTCAGGCGGGTCACGTAACGCTGTTAGCGCATCTGCTGCACCACGTTCAGGGAACGGATTCGGTGCATGACGAGTGTCATCTTCACCCGTGAGGGTGGTTAAAGGGGATCCATCGGGTCCCACAAAGACGGTGTCACTTTCGTAATCAACCGCTTCGTCAAGGTCGTCTTCAATGAGGTCCCGAAGAGTCTGTGACTCATTGCCAGGAGGCGTCATGTTATGTGCCGTGAACAAACCGTAAGGTTTTAACGTTCGCTAAAGCACTACCTCAAAAGAGGAAAGATATCGAGTGAAATTCTATGGGAACGTCAGTCTGGTGGGGGAGGGTGTAACGGGGTTACACGACGGTTGTAGCGTCTTTCCGAGAGTTTACGGTTAAACTCCCCTTTGTATTGCATATAATGCATTTTTATACTTCTCTTTAGAGAGGTATTAAGTATGAGCGTTAAGATACGGTATTCGGTAATACCTTATCTTATCGATTGGGATTCGATAAATCACTAACGCTGTACTAAGTACATCATACACAGATGTTTAGACGATACGTCGTCCAATGACAAAGTCTGCATATTATTATTACTATTATAGTAATTAATCTAGTGTAGTGTACTTAGAGTAGGACAATTCCTAAAATCTTAAAGCATAAATAAAATCAGTTCTCCTTTTGAGTTTAAGATCGCAAGTCGTTCTGACTTGCTCTCTTGTGCACTTCGTGCGCTGGTTCCCTGAATCCCTAAGCTTCTAGCTTCTCTTGCACTCTGTGCGTTGGTTCTCTGAACCTTAAGCTTATTGCTTGCTGACTATAAGTATCTCCTACTTCCTTAGAAGAGGGTGACTTTAAAGTCGTTTAATTAGTTCCTTAGAACTAAGTGGCTGTTAGCCTTAACTCTATTTAGCTCTCTAGAACTAAGAGGCTTCCAGCCAAAAGTCTTCCTCTGGCTAAAGAGCTGTGCAGCTCCGCTACAGAAAGCCTCACTCCTAATTCCTTAACACAGGGTGACTTTTAAGTCGTTTAATTAGTTCCTTAGAACTAAGTGACTTTCAGCCGTAAATTTATTCAGTTTTCTAAAACTAAGAGGCTTTCAGCCTAAAATTCTTCCTCTGGCTAAAGAGCTGTGCAGCTCCGCTACAGCATTTCTAACAACCTTGTGATTTCCTCTTCGGCGAGAGCCTACACAACCCTGACCGGTCATGGCTATCGTGGCATGGACGGACATGCTGCCGGATGTTCTGGGTACCAACCAGTCCGGATAACCCCAATTATTCTGTTTTGGGTCTCATGCTTCTACGAGAGGCCGTACTCACTGGTACCGGGGTTTCCGGGGGGGGGGGGTACCAGTGAGAGAAATGTGTGCCACATTGTTTTTGGACCTTGGGTTGGTCGTAGCCACTTACGACACAGGGGAATGCTTACCCAAGACACCAGGGGGGGGGAACCTCTAGCTGCATCGTACAAGGCGGAGTAACTACGCGTTACTGTGGATTAAAATAAAATTGGCGGAACAGGCGCTGCTATCACGAGAAGTGACATCTTGGCAAGGATGCGACATTGAGACTTGTTGAAGTAGAGCACGAAGTTGCAAATATTTTCGCCAGAGATTACAGTTCACGCTTTCTCGCATGAGGGTGTGGCAAAAGCTAATGAGACAGAGATCCTTCTTGAAATCCATAAGAAATGGAGAAATACCAGTTGATGCCCCTCCATTCTTTTGTAAACTTCTCAAATGGTACTGAAGGTGCTAGACAAAGCATCAATGGAAATTCGTGTCGCCGCATTCTAACGATTATCGGCGTCGATGCAACCAAGCAGAATGCACCGCTTTTGTCGCTCAGCGGTGTCTGGCAGGTTCGCATCTTTTGGCCCCGTCTCCTGTTCAGCCAGATTTTTTGTTGCTAACGAGCCAGCGCCTTGCAGGGTTTTTTCAGCTTCTTACACGCAGCTTGCTCTATTCTTCTCTGCTTCAAGAAAACATCACTAATCTCCACTTCTAATTCCAGCTTGCTTGCTTTTTCTTCAGTTCCGCAGTCCGAGCGCTATCCTTCAACAATTTTTTAGCTTCTCCCTAGCCATTTCATAAGAATCTCGATTTCATCAAGATGTTTATATATGCACGTCGTACCCGTGCGCACTTTGACGTGCTTCTGCCGCTGTATTTACATCACTTTAGTCAGCGAGCGGTAGTCCAATACAGGTCGTCGTACTATATCAAGTAAGTCTTTATCTTCTGTTAGACTTGCACATTGTCAGCTCTTTCTTGCGCAAATTCTTGCAGCCTCTATTTCAAGCGTTTGCATTGCCGCGCTAAGAGCCTGCAATCATCGTGTATCTGCTTAAGTATCGTAATCTTTTCTCCATCTTTGCTTTTCGACGTATCTCCCTGTCCATAAATTCTGTATCTCCTAAAAATATACAGCACGACGTTCGCTTGAGTCTTGTCAAGGCACGTATTGTTATTCTTTCCCTCTTTTTATACATACTTCACTTCCTGACATAAATCCTGCATCTATATCATATCTATCTCAATATCACACGTGCATGACACACTCTTCTTCGTGAAATGACACACCCAGAGTTCTTCTTGGCGTCGACATATGTAGCCATTTTTTCGGTCTTAGAGTTCATATGTCGGTCCGATTGATGCTCTTTGGGAGGTTTTGTGTCGTCGTGTTGTACCTTTTTGATGTACGCGAATAGGATTCATTTTGTGGATAGGGTATAGATTTGAAGTCACTGTAGTTTTGTATGTCATCGAGGTTTTTTTTATCTCGTTTGCTAAGGTTTTACATCCTCTTTATAGTGCGGAAGAAGACGCTCAGATCAAAAGAGAGAGAGACATTAAGAAAAACGCAGTACTAATAAACGGCAGTAAATAGCTCACTAGACGCTGACGCCTAACGATTGTATTAGACACTCGATACGTAGAGGAAAAATGAGTCGTGAAGAGCGAAAAATGGCGCAAATTATCGCCAGTATCGAGCGCATGGAACAGGAGGCACGAGCGTCGGGAGATGACAGTTGCAGGACACAAGAGCCACATGATTGGACGAGACAGGGAGGAAAAGGGAAGAAGGGAAAGAAGGGAAAGCTGTTAGGTGTTAAGGCTAAAACAGGCAAGAAATCGAAGGTCTCAGCTGGAGGAGAAGGGATCAAGGCGACGTTTGAGCAGAAACTGACGCCGAAGCAGCGCTGGATCCAACTCTGGAGCGCACAACTGGATGTTACAAAGGAAAAGGACTGTGGCAGCTTAAAGGAGGGTGTAGGGGAGAAGAAGAGAGAAGAGAATGTCGAGATTGAGACGACTAAAGAGCCGGTCGACACCACGTCTTTTGTGGCAGACAAAGTGGAGTCTAGTGGACCACACCAATCTGCGACATTTGTTGCAGCTAAGGAAGAAAAGGAAGGAAGCGTGATAGATGAGCCAATTGATGTATCGATGGTGCCACTGGCCTTTGTTGCTCCTAATGATAAGGCAGTCCCTGTCTTGATTCCGGTCAGTGCGAAGGAACAATTTACAGAGGTATCCAAGACAACGATGACGGCGCCTAGAGAAAATGATGTGATAGCTATGGAATCTTCTTCGTCATTGGAATTACGTGTGAAGACTCCGCTGAACAACGAGTCGTCGCACTTGTCTCCTCCATTGGAGAGGAACAGTCCTACTACAACAGCATCAATTAGCCCATCTGCAAAGGTTAAGGATACAGATGCGCCAAATACCAACCCAACAGCAGCGGCCAAGTTTTCTCCCGCAGCAACGGAAAAGGAAGATTCCATCGCGGGTGATACGCAGGATTTATCTGCAAAGGTACCTGCTGCTTTTAAGCTAGAGAGGGCGTGTAGTAGCAGCAACAGTGGGAGCAGGGGAGACGACGCCTACTCGAGGGTGACATCAGATTGCCAGAGTGACCGTGGTAGAAAACGCAACTGGGAAGACATGGAGTCGCCCATGTCTGAGGAGGCGAAACGGCGCGCGGAGCGGAGGAGAAAGCGAAAGTCTAATTGGGATGTAGGCGACCCTCGCAAGGGAGGAAGCCCTGTTGCTGATCCCATGATCAGTGCCGCCGCCGCTGCGGCTAACCAACAGTCATTCGCGAAGTACCCGCCTACTCGGCCATCTTGGCGTCATAGCCAAAGCATGATGGAAATAAAGCCGCAGTTCCAGAGCAGCTACCGGTCTTCCAGTTTTTACAACAACGGTCCAACTGCAGGAGGAAGGCGAGCATTTTATCACTCGAGCTCACTACCTCAAGATCGTTCCCGGAGTGCAGGACGCTCGTCAACGCGTCACAACTACGGAAACAGCAGCAGCGGTAGCAGCTACCGGTGATCGACGGTTGTAAATACATGAACAGGCCCCATTTCGGTATGGAGGTAGGTGAAACAGATCTATCTATGAGACGCGACCATATTGTGTAGGATGCGAAGCTTGGGCGAGATTGTCAGCTAGCAGCATAAGCAATGTCGCGCCATGTAAGCTCATTTATGTTTAGTATATGCATTGTGCACGAATGTTGGACCCCACCCACTATGTGTGTATACGGTATACCATGTGCATGGTACATGGCATTGAATTAGCTTGCAAGAATGATTAGAAGTCGCTGGATACTGGCGCTGCTGTGTACTTGATGTAAACGTAGAGACTGCAGGAGTCACCCAAGCAATCGATGACTTGCTGCTGCACATCATCGTAAACCCACGTCGCTTTCATTTCGTAAAGACCTGCTCTAGCGTAAATCTGTACGCTTCACGCTCAATGCAACGACTATCGCTGCCAAGAAGGTTGACTGATAACAAATTGGCATAGTCTGTAGACAATCTGCAATACTGCGACTGCGCTTATGTTGCCATCGTCTTGTGCACTAGAATCAATAGCTTTGTGGTGGATAGAGGCACTTCGTTGTACAAAAACTAATGAGGACGTCACATCCTCATGGCATGCAGTGGTGGTGTCATGTCAGTCAATATACCACTATTATGTTCAACCGTATCACCTAAAAGACCCTGGTAAGAATCACAGTCCATTCTTGACACGAATCAGCGCCGCTTAGTGTTGTTGCTGATTGCTTTACTTGATCTCACAGGCACCAAATGGGGTCTGGAAGAGAAAATGAACATTCTTTTTTGGTTTTAAATTACTGCGATCTGAGGGAAGTATCGGCCTCAGGGGGAGATAGACTACGGCACATGCTGCATCGATTATCGAAGCATGTATTTCTGTAGGTACATTGCGCACACTTCCAGGAGATTTGCCGCCTTTGCTGACGTGTCAACATCTTGGAAGAATCTGATCCCGAGTCAATGGAGTTAGCACGTTTCAGCTCTCGGCTGCGAGTATGCAATGCGATTGGAGATATCGTCGTGTTCAGCGTAAGCTGACGAAGTGGTTTACATCCTTTAATCGAATGTCTTCGTCGTTCTTTAGTCAAAGTCGGGCTGTGTGACGTACTCCGGAGGAAATACTTTTTCTTCAGCTCATTCATCTTTAAATGTGTACGAGCACGAGGCGACGAGAACTCGACACTGGTCGAAAAAGTGCGACGCAAATTCTCTTCTGAGGTTCCTGACTGACTTGCAATTCCACGGGATGATTCGAAAAACTCGTCCAATTTTTGCTGGTTTGCATCACCAGCATTCAACGATCGCGTTATCGGTCGATGAGTCAACGAGATTTTCCTCTTTTTCTTAGCTCCCTCATTTGTTTCGGATGATATTAAGGATAAAGTCGACGACGCTGGAGATGATGAAGAAGCAGCGAACGAAGCTGTAAATTTTGGATCGTTCTGTAAAAAGTCAATTGTTTGCTGTAATGCCCGTTGTTCTGCTTCCTGTACTTGTGCGTGATGTTTTTGTAATTGATCGTTATAGAAAGCTTTAAGATCTCCAGATGTAGCCACCTGGTTGTCCTCTTGACAATTGTGTAATGGTGGTGCGTCCTCATCAAAAAACTCGACAAGGCGTTCCCTGTCATCTTCGATATCCCCTAGAAATGGACACGTGAGCTGAATAGCTTGCCACATCACTTCGTCCACTTTGTATTGTTTTGTACGTGCAAAACCCACGACACGTCGTCGACAGAACCCACAGTTGACACTTGTAAGTTCCAAACCACGTTCAAAACATTCCATACTGTAACAAAACAAGGTGTAAAAACAAAAGTATTTGCAATCAAATAAAAATATTCCATACCAGAGGTAACGCTGGCAACACGGTAACTGAATGGGGCGTCGTAGGACGTCCAGACATAGAGGACATTGAAAGCGTATAGGGATGGATACAGAGCTTGTATGAGGAGAAGAAGGCGTCATTGCTGACACGGTTGCGGTTGACGCTCGTGACCGAGTAAGCGCCATATTCCTTGGAATTGCCGCTTTGTGTCGAGTTTTAATTAGTAATTAGGTTAGAAATGAGGTCCAAACAAAACGTATGTGATTACTGTACAGAGGGACGCCAGCCAAAAAAAACACCCGTTTCAAACAAACGTTTCCCAATTTTCAAGATAAAATGTAAGACCTCTACTAACCGGTTTGATCACCGGTATCCTCCTCAAATTGACACCCACTCTTAGGTATCGGCTGGCCGATAATGCATCGCGTACTGCGTTTGCGTCGCGTCTCAGCAGCCGCTGTGCCTTCTAAATGGCGTGCATCTCAACCTTCTTTATCTTTTGTAACTCGTACTGTTCTTACAGTCGCAGCGCGGTCGAAATTGGTCCAAAATTCGGTTTGTAACATCAAATTCACGTCTCATCCACTGCGCTGTCGATCTTTTTCTTTACTTGACGCTTCTAGCGACATTCCCGCAACTCCAAGAGCATCAACAGCTACACAAATGAGTATTGAACAACGTGAGAATGTAGTGATGCGTCTAAAAGCACGTTGTAATGCATTATACGACGATAATGAGGCATACGTGGCTCCATCCGAAGCGCTATCTCTCTGGCTCCATGACGTCCAGATGCTGTTAAATCAGTACAATGCTATACAACTCAATAAAGAGGTGTGTCATGCCTATGAGAGCGGTGTAGCCATTGCATCCAAGCAGCGGCAATTCGAACTCGCCACGGCTTTGACCCAACAGATGGAAAACATCGGATTTCGGCCGACAGAAAGGATATATCAGTATCTTATTCGTAACGTGGCGTTGCAGCTGATTACTGGACCGAAACAGACGTCAATAAAAGATCTTCGGGAGCTGCTGAAGGACGTGACTGACGACATGTGGGAACGTGAGATCATGAGTATCCTGGAAAGAGAAGAATGGTCATTGCAACTGAAGACGGAAAAAGAGTTTGCTCTTTTTCATGACCGACTTATTGCCGGTATTGAAAAACAGCTAGACAAGTATGAAGGTGTTGTTGATGTGGACCATAACAAGAAACTGAAACTCAAGAGGTCAATGGGGCCGTACAATGAAGCACTTCGTGTGTACGCGGACAATGGTGTCAAGTTCTCCCGCATGTTGCAGCTGATGGTGGCACGTGATCTTGTAGTGGATGTAGAAACCTATGAGGCACTGCTGCTGGGAGCACGTTGGAACGAGATCCCAGCCACGCTAAGTCAACTTTTGCAGTCAAAACTTGTTGATGAACTAACTACCTCAGCATCTGTCACGGCTAGTGAACATGTGCATAATTTGTGGGTTAGTGCTATGAAGGCCATTATATACTCTAGTACAGAGCGTTTTAGCTCACTGTCGGCTATCGTGTACAAGAGAGACGTCGACCAACTGAGGAAGGTCTTCCTGTTCGTCGACAAGCAGCTTTCTAACGCGTTTTCTAAATTCAGTTTTGCTACGACAACACAGTATGATGAGGTTTACACGATGCGCGCGAAGGCTGCGGCCGCGTGCGGGCTTATTGCCCCTGTCAAAAGGATTCTCGACGAGTACGTTCAGTGCGCACCCTCCGGTCCAGGTGTCGAGAAACCTGTACTATCCAAAAAACCATTTTTGTCGGCATTGGAGATCGTCCCGTGGTCATTGATGGACGTTCTGATGCTTTCACGTGAAGATGCTTTGGCCCGTGCGACGAATCGAGATGTGGCAACTTCTCCACGTGTGCTGGAAATGCGACACATGTACGAGCGCATCATGCGCAAGCTGACCAAGGCTGAAAAGACTATTGAGAAAATTCGGCGAAAGCTCAACTTGGAAGATGGTAAGCTGAATGAAGACGAGCTGCGCGAACTGCTGGCTCAGCAGGATATGGCAAACATGACTATGGAACAGGAGGTTAAAAGAGCCACAACTCTTGAGAGAAGGCTTGAAAATGCCCGCGTTCTTAAGGCTAATCAAGTACTGATAAAAGAATACTTGAAGCGTGCGGACAAGATGGTGGACTATGTGCTGAACAAACTGCTAGATGCAGGCTACGACGTGGAAAACGATTTGGATGTGAGCGTCAAGCTTATGGAACAATACATGAACTCTGCTCGACGCTTGGATAAGCGCCTTACACAGCGACAGAAGCACGTGAGCCCTCATATGATGTATCGTGTTTTTAAGCAGGTCAATTTAATCTCGAGCGCCGTGCAATGTGGCGTGTTTGACCTACAAGATCTGAAGACTCGCGAAAAGTTGACCAATTTTTTTGAGCATGCCGTATGCGCAGCCGTGCGCTTTTGGCGTGAAGAGGAAACGGATGCTCTTGTGCGACAGCAACAACGATTGCTAGGCACTCAGCAGCTAGCCCCTCGCGAGTACGATCAGCTCATCTTCCAACGTGTGACGAGTCTGGACGTACGCGGCGCTCACTCGCTATTGCAGGAAATGCACAATGCGGGTATGAAACCGTCTCAACAAGCCATTCATCGCATCGCGCTTGGACTACTGCACCAACGCTATGCATTGCGAAATGGCGAACCCTTCGGGTCATATACTGATGCGGATGGAGAAGTCGATGCAGAATCTCAAGATGGAGCTGAAGAGGAGAACGAAGACGAGGATCCCACAGCAGCAGCAGAGGCAGCGCTTGACTCGGAGCTGTCAGATTTGCTGAATGTGTCCGATCGAGAAGCTATTGAAGAAGAACTCGAGTTGAGTGGAGCTTTGAAGTTGGAAGGAGATGACGACAAGCTCAGTGCTGAAACTGCAGCGGCAGCACGGACTTTGTTGCTGGGCTCGGATGCACCTGTGACTATGGAAGACCTCATTGGCTTTCTACAGGACTGGTACAACCTGTACGGCGTAAAGCCCCTCGGCAAGACGGTGGTACCTGTATTGGCTCAATTGCTAGACACCAACAACTTTCCGGAATTCCGCCGGCTATTGCAGATTTTGGAATCCATGGAAGGGGGTCTTACCCCGGCCACGGAACTTTGGCTCGAAAGGCGCATCAGTCAGCTTGGTGACAAGACGTTGGACGACTTCCGGCTACCAAAAAGTGAGCTAGCATCTAGTTTTGTATAGACCATAGTACCCTGCTTCATTTCGAAAAATGGCAGATGATCCCATTGTTCATGCAGACATCAACCATTTGCAGATCAAACATCACAACAACATGTAGCGCATAATACAGTTCTCAATTTGCTCGTTCAGATCGAAGCATAGACGATGATTACATTTCGATCTGGTCCAGCGATGCCGACAAGTACGTCCCCAGTGTCTCGACCTGCTCCCGCAGCATCCAATTCCTTGTCAACTCCACAATAATCGTCACATCAATTGCATCAATGTTTTCGTTACCTTTGCCTTGAGCAGTCCAGCCGGTGTGTCCGTGCTCGAATATGCACAGAGCAAGAAGTTTTTGCCCGTCATAGTCATCGCCAAGCGACCACGCTGCATCAAACAACAAGAACAACCACAATACAATATCTTAGATACCATCATAGACCTTATAATGACAGCCAAAAAGCTGCAGAACATCCATCAATCGACTTTACTTCGAGTTCCACGAGCATCGAACGGAGATCTCCAGTGGGATTGGCCTCTTTGCCAGCGTGTAGATACTCTCCCCACGTGTGAGAGGCGATAGCGCCCACCACGTTGTGATCCAATGCATCTCCATCACCTACAGAGCCTACTAATGCCCCCTCCAATGTCATTAACCTGTAAGAAACAATGACAACATCAAGAAATGAGTTGGTGAAAGTGACTGGGGTTAAGACCATGTAACTTTTGATACAGAAGGCGGTAAGAAATGCAATTTTCACCGGGAAGATTGCGAGGGAAAGAAGATGATGAATGGATAGTACGTACATGCAGGCAGTGATGCCATCACCCACGATCTGCCCTAGAACCTCTGGTAGCGCTTTCGCACGTAACATGTTTTTAATCAAAAGTTTCGGATATACAAATATCGTGATATTGAAAAATATCAAAAGTTTCTAAACAAATCTCAATAACTACCATATTTATTTCTAAGTACAGTAACAGACAGAATCATATTTCTATTGCGGTATGATGCTTCAAGTGATATAAATTATTGACGCGTCATATCTCTATCGCCATTGTGCATTTTGCCAATACTATAATAAAATAAAACTTTAATGCAATTGATCGACCATTTCTAATGTCATTATTGCTTCACTGGATGACGTCGATTGCAGTAAATTGCGAACATCTTGAAGCTTTTTGATGGTTGGTAAAAAGAGATTTTATTCTTGATGGTACTGTGGCTGGAACCCATGTCTTATCTTCCACTGGCTGTATGATGAACCTAAGGAGAGAATATTGGTGGATTGTTGCCTTCTTTTGTGCCTACTAAAAGACGCTGCTAAGAATCCTAATTGACGCTTAATGGATTAATAGCATGTGCGTCTTCGAAAGTTTGCTTAACATCGCAAAATAAAGCTCGTAATGATTCGAGTGCAGCATGTAAAGATATCGTGCCAGCTCGGGTGCTGAATTTTAGCGTTAAGACCCACTGAATCAGAGCTGCTAGCCCTAATAACTAAGTTTCCGTGACAAGCGAGCGAGCTACCGTTTTGTATATTTTGCACCGACTGACTGGACATACAAGTTGGTTGACCTCTTCAATGCTATTCTAGAGTGGTCAGAGGCGGTGATACGAACTGCGGCGTCGATTTTTTCAACGTACCCGCTGGAGAAACCAGTCAAAGCCACCTAACTCGTTCTAATAGTTGCAACCTGTCCCACAACCTGGTATAGCATTCCGAAGGCGTTCATTCTTTTCGATCATGCGTGTAGTTTCAGACAGATTTTGCTCGGATCTTTGCAATCGGTCCCGACAAAAGCCATCGCAATCTACAAAACTTTCAGCAATAGCACCTCAAAGCATCAACCAAATCAAGCTCAAGGTTAGTGCTATAAATACATAGATCCATCCGTAGTCTTATACTATAGATCAATTAGCTACGGCATGAGGCGTACACTAGTACTTCCCAACCCTGCGCCATATCCACTGCCAACCTGTGCAGCTTCCACACTGTTAAACGTCCTAATCTCAAAATCGTACATCGCAATTGGAATGTGCTCAATGCTCTGTACCGCCGTCAGAATATGCAGCAGGGCATTCTGAAGCGCCGCTTCCGTCTCTCCCGCACACAATTCTTTCTCTTCTACACGCAAATAATAACTAAAATCAATACTTTCATCATCCACACTCCTTACAAAGACTTAGTCCCTCACCTTGTGACGCAGCAGGTGACGACGTCACCGTCACGGGCACAATCCACTTTTCAAACACCGTCTTCTCCTCATTGGACATAAGTCCAAACAAGGCTTTTTTCACTTTTCGCTCAAAAAAGGTTACTACTATGTACCCATTATTGGCACCTCGAACGTTGCTACTTGCACCCATCGACGGTTGCCCGTATGGGGTCATAACACTGCTATTAGCTCCCATCAAGTAGCTACTGCCATCTCCCAATACCGTCGACTCCTCAAAGCTGCGTACGGCGTGATCGACCTTACGACTAACGTCTCCCACTGCACACAAAGCGTACGTGATGTTAGGGAAGGCCTGGCATGAGGCTTCACTGGGACGGACGGGTCCTGGCGCTCTTGTAAACAAAATGGTATGAAGCAGACATGTCACAGCATCTCCCACGTCCTCTGCGGCTACGGGAATCTCGTCGAGAATATGCTCTTTCCACGACATCGCACCACCTGTGCTTCCACTGCCAGCGCCCCCACTCGCACTTGCTAACATCTTTGATGGAAAATGAATTTTCAGATTTTAGTACAAATAAAATGGGCAAGTATTCAGAATGCATTTGAGTATGTATCCATTTTGAATACTTGCCCATTTTTTGTAAAACCAATCAGCAAAATCAGCAAAAAGCAATGATCACATTGATATCCGTATACGTAATCTTTGTCCGGTAGTAACTTTTTGCATTTAAGTTTAGATCACGTAAGCATACTATTACACTATTTATTTTTACACTTGTCGATATTAAATAATAAACTGAAGTAACAAAATTTGGATGAATAGTTTGAGTGAGGAGAGGAATGTCATTGACACGATCAACGCTCCTCATGGTGGCGTCGATAAGTGACGTGCTTTAGTCATTTTACAAGTGAGACGTCTAAATCAAAGTCTTTCACTTTTTTTCTTTTCTACGAAAGCGTCAGCACTTTCTGAAACATTCGCCGCCTGGAATGTTGTCCGTAATACACACTAAATTGCAACACAGTCTTCTACTTCCCTACTCAATCTTCACCACATTTGGATGGCAAGTGGTCGAAGATACAGCATCTTGTCGCACTATAGACAGAGACAGCTGCTTTTTCAGCAGCTAATGACAGTAGATGGAGCCATTTGCAAACACACAATGTACACAAAATGCTAGCTTTTCGTTAAATTTAGTGAAAAGGTGACCAATTATTGGAATACGAAAGAGTTGTCGTGTTTACTTATTTTTCTGGACAAATACCCAATTTCGGGTATTTCTCACTAGCCAATCAACGTACTTGATATGAGAATCTAACCATAAAAATTGGCATTGTAGTGGTATCATGATCAAAGGATTGTTCTATAGCGAATTTGACAACGTGGCTGGGCCTGTCATTCTGTTTCAGGCACCAGAAAAGTAAATTGTGCTTATCTATAAATATTCTTTCTATTATTATTGTAAATGCTGATTCACATGCGATCCCCGTAGTGTATTGAGTAACGAGATATTCGACAGTGTGTCTGGTTACATTATTATTGACAAGGCACTTTGTGGGAAAATTATAACAGGTAGGGGGGAAAAAGTGTTTGAGACACAATTTCATACTATATTTTACAAATCGTACTTATTGTATACACTACGGTAGTTCGAGCTCGACAGATGAAGATTGTCGGGTATCCCGTCTGCATTGAGGACGACAAATATCACCGGAATGCACTGCTATTTAACATTGGTAACACTACAATGGACATGCCGGTTAGACGACATAATAACCATATTGTTAAGAAACTGACAGCTTTTGTATTGTAATATGAGTGCAGGTTTTGTGTTTGACGATCACGTGGAGACGGTACCGTATCGACCCATTTTACGAAAGGTTCGTCGCTCTTTTATTGATAGGATACACACACACTTCGTCAAGAGATTGACTGACCATCTTGATGTTGCTATGTGATGTAGTTGGGAGCTTTGGTAGAAGGAATGGAGAAAGAGAGCGGCTTTTTGTATAACCCGGACAAGAAAGAGCTACTGAGGACGATTTTGCCTCGAATTTTGCGAGACTTGACACTGCATGGCGAGTGCACCATTCCAGTGGACACAGCCAACATTATTAATCTAAAGCTTTTCCCGACTTTGCAAGACCCAGCGCCCGTATTTGAGTATCAAGTACCGGTAGCGATTCGAGATTTGCGTGCTCTCCTTGAAAACAGTGGTGCGGTTGTTAGATTTAGTGTTCCTTACAGCTTCGTGTGGCTGACTCGTTCATGGCTTGTGTACAATAGCAGAATGGGACTTGGCGCTGCAGCAGATTGTGCCTTTCATTGACGGCGTCCGTTATGTAAAACGCATCAGTTTGGAGGCAGAGGTGGAAATTGCGATAGTGAAAAAATGTGTTCGACAGCTATTATACTACGGCTGCGTGACGCTCATCGACATTTTTCTTCATTCAAACATCTACGCTAACACCCCCAAAATTGCCGTGCTCGCCAACGACCTTAAGTTACAAGCCGAGTGCGCCGTATACATCGCCAAGTCAGGTCATGTGCCGCCATCGTTCGCGCGGATTTTTGCGCTGTACTGCTCCGTTCAGCCCAGCTTACGCATGAGTGACTTCTGTGTCGTGTATTCCGAGTCGCTTGCTCTCATCGATGTGCGACGTTTTATCACCTTCGGTCTCATTCATGGATTCCTAAGACGCGTGCATCGCTACCCTATTTGCATCGATCGCAGTTCCAGTCCCCAGCAGCAGCAACAGGTCCAGCAAACACCGCAACAAAACCAGCAGCAAGGTGGTCAGCAAAAGAGCCGTCCATTCGGACTGCCTTCAAATTCCCCGTCACTGTCAGGAATCAATCCTATCGGTGCAGCACCTATATCGAATCAGCCTAACGGGACATCTAGCGTACCAAATGGAAACACGGCAGGTGGCGGCTCCAATGGGACTGGAGGAAACGTGACCACTCTATCGTCTTCAAAACGCGCCTTGGTTGCCAAGGCTAATCAGCTGGAGAAAGACTTGCTTCGAATGATGGACGGCAGCCATCATACAGACAAAATCTGCACCAAGTTCTTGTTGCGCTATAACGACGTAGAGTCCACCATTCAAACAACTCCAAACTGCTTCGCCGTGCACAAGTAACAGCACACGCAACGTACACGCATGTAACGCGTCAACAAGCTTGCAGCAACAAAAGATCACCATATTTAATTTCCCTCTTCTTTGCACACGGACTGACACGCAAATAGATAAGAGCCTACATAATTTACTCCATCCAGAATCCCGAGATCTCCATATTCATCACAAGCGTCACATAGTTAATCATCTCTTCCTTAGTATGGTAAAGCGGCAGGTCGATTCGATTGAAGCATGTGTGGCCCTTGGGCATTAGACCCGTTGGCGGCGCACCACGCTGCACAAACTGAATGGTAAATCGCCGAACTCGGCCATCGCTGCTCGTAAGTGCCTTAAATCCCTGAACAGGGACACGAGAAGTGCCAGTAGCAAACTGTAACAAACGTGCGCGTTCCTCACTCGTAAACTCAGCCATACACTCCCAAAACCATTTAAGCACGCGATGCTCAGCAGGAGTCGGTTTCTCAAGCTTGACCCACCGCACCTCACTGTGAGCGTGCCAATCATTCACATCCAGTTCCGGTACACCAGATAGCAAAAGATCAAACTCCTGGTAGTCGAAAACCGTAATAAGGAATTGTGGCATGACATCGTAGAAGCCCATGAGTAATGCACCCAGCTGCTCCGAAATACTCTCAAACATGTAGTGCTTGAGGAGAAGCTCCAGGTATTCCTTCTTGTTCTCATCTGTCACATCCCGGTCAGCACCACCAGGTACCAACTCAACCGTCTTAGACTTTCCCTCAGACGTGATCACCTGTACCGTAAAGTCAATTGCAAGTAGATCGGCCTTGTCGTTTTGCTTCATCCACAATGCATTCTTGTACAAATCTTCATCCAAAAACTCGAGATCCGAGAACGAAATCGGTACTCCAAGAATGTGTTTAATAAGCGGCAGCGCAAGCGACATTTTCATGTTGTATCCTTCAATCAGCGCCTTGGCAAGCAATCGCCCTACAAACTCATAATACTCCAGATGGTTGGGTACTTTGGAAGCCGAGGCGGGATTTATCCAGTAGCCCATGTTCTCACCCTTCGTAGAAATAAACAGACCGAAATCATCGTTAAAGAGTGAATCACTCAATATCTCGTACCATTCACGAATCAAGCCACCAGCGTCTAAACCAGGCTCGTTCTCAAAGTAAATGCGCAGGCGCTCCCAGAAACGACTAGGCGGGCACTTCAGCATCTGCTCCAGCGAATCGCTCAACAAGTTTTCACGTCGTACGACAAACTGAATGTGACCCTCCTCGTAGCTTCGCCAGCGCTTCTGTACCTGCTCAAGGAACCAGCGATTCTTGTCCTGGAAAGTAAGCGAGGCGATCTCCTCAAGATCATCCTCACAGTCCATTCGGCGACTATTGTCTGCGAAGGCAGCCACGATTCCAGCAGGAGTCCACTCGTAGCCACCATCACCATCTTCATGTCGCACGTACCCTGTAGACACATTTGACATGGTCGTATCGCTCAATTCGTTTAATCGGCGGTTCTCCATTCCAGTTAGTCTGTCAATCTCAGAAATCGGGCCTCCGCCCATCGTGCCTTCCCTGTTTTCGTCAATATGATTCAAGCCACGAGAACTAGCAAGCACGCGAGTGCTAGCCAACGGGTTAATGCTGTTACTAGACAACAAATTCCTGCCACTGCCACTGGAGTTAAACAATTTCGTGCCATTGTTCGCCGGGTTGAACGGGTTTTGCTGCGAGTAAAATGCCATCGTCGGTCGTTCTTCCGCTTCTTCGAGACATTTCAACGCCGTTGCACGCAGCGGCTGGAACGACGGACGCCCCAAATCATGATTTGTCGCCAAGAAAGAGCTGTCTGGGTGACGTCCACCGTCTTCTGGCACACCAAAATCTCGCAACGCCAGTGCAATATTCTCATTGTCTTCTTTCAGTGATGACGTCAATGAGATACGACTGGTGTTGGACGTACGTGAAAACGCATCTCCTCCTAATATTGCCGTCCCATTACAAGGCGTACTCAGACCATTGTACATCGTCTCACTTTTCTTTTCCTTCTGTTTCAAGTCTTGTTTAATGTGATCAGTAGCATGTTGGGCATCAATTCGTACCCATCGCATGACACCATCTTTTCCTTTTTTTCTCTTCCATAAATGCCGTCGTACAGCAGCTTTTTGTCGAGAAGTAAGATCCATTTGCTTTAATCTTCGTACATGAAAACTCCGTACTCTTGACTGTTGATCAAGTAGACTCTGACTAAAATCTTGTTTATGCAATCCAGAAGCACGTGCCATGTAATTCGATGGTGTCGACGCGGTGATAATCCGTGGTGTACGACACATCACACAGCTCGTCTTGTCCGGATGATTATCATGAAAACAAATCGAACAAGGCCATTCTTCTTCACCCCGTTGAAGAAAACTATCGACAAGATGATGACGCATCATATTGTTGTTTTGATTGTCTCGGGCTAGAAACCGTTCGATTTTACGTGCATAACTCCAATAATACCAGATCGAACCACAGAGAACTAGTAATGCCAATAGTAAAAACACGTAGACCAATACTGCCATACTGGGACTTAAGTCTTGTCCAAATATTGTTGTCATTTGAGCTGATCTGTAGTATATATAATAAAAATAAAATGTCTCCCAATGGATCACCACTCACTCACTGGCAGTCGGTCGGTATTCTAATGGAAAAAGAATTGTACTGACTCTTGTGGGTAGTTGACGGTGCAGTAAGTTTAATCCAATGAAAAGGGATGATTGTATACATTTTAGCCACTCAGGAGTCGTCATCGATCCCATCTGTTGAATAAATAAATAAAAACGATTCGCTGTATGTTTATGCCACTTTATTCTTCGATTTTTTATGTATTTATACTAGGATCATCATGTTCAGGTCGTTCGTTATTTCTATTGCATAACGGATCGTTTCGGACCAGGTAAGTGACTTGTCTGGACTCTAGCTCTGTCTTTTTTGAAATGCAGTTCAGTAGAAAAAAGAGCGACGTGAACGGCATGCGGGACAGCCTTGTTTAATGAGCCCTTGGAAACGATGTCCTGACGTTTGGAAAGTCGAACGTGACTGGATTTCTACCACCGATGTCGATTTGTACCCAGTCAGACGTTGCAAGCTCGATTATATAGCGTAATCGGTCGCAAATTGTCGAAGCATATAGCAGTGTACGCCAAGCTGCAGCAGTTCAGGCATTGCTCGACCTCTTCGGTCCATAGGCACTTGATTTGGGTCAAGAATAGTTCGTGTCTTTTCGGGTCAATTCCGATGCATTTCGTTCGATCTCAAAAACAGTCTCTTACTCTATCTACTAGAACGTGTAAAAATATTCGTATCAGAGACAAATGGTAATACGATATGTAGCCATGAAGGACGTGATTTCTGCCGCGTTGATTGGAAATAGTCTCGTTATCACGGCCCGGTTTTTGTACCATGCTGTACAGTATACGCGTCACAACTATACACTTGATTATACGTGGCTTACACGGGTGGCTATTGTTTGTGTGGCTTACACGGGTGGCTATTGTTTGTGTGGCCTACACTGATGGCTATTGTTTGTGTGGCTTACATGATTCAGTGTAGTACGTACTTCACAAAACAAAAGTCAATGAGCATTTTGCAGCGTCTGCAAGCGCGAATGCAGCGTTGGCATTTGTTAGGGCGGTATTATGCCAACAAATGGCACTACGATGGCTCCAAATGGATGGATTGTGTGTTGTATGGACAGGGCAGTACGGGAAATGGACCACAAGTGGCGTCTGTGGCTTTTATGATCACGCGAGCCATGCGGCAGCAGCTCATGGACGTCGGCTTCCCACCCTCTGCTATCTCGTCCCTGCAGCCAGCAGTAGCACAGCAACTTATTGCTGACAAGACTTCATTTGCGCAGTTTAAAGAGCTTCAGAAGCAGCAACAGGTGGAGAAGGCGGCAGAGAAGGCGAAGCACACGCTGAGGCAGGAGAAGAAACAGGAGCATCAGCAGGAGCAAAGCGTCGTACTAGTGAAGGAGGAAATGCAGCAGACAATAGAACACCAGGAAAAAGCTGAGACATCAGCTCTTGTCATACATCAGGAGAAAGTGGTAAAGGAGGAGGACGTGAAGAAGTCGCAGAGCTAAAAATTCAATGTCGCCAATGTTGCACACGTTAATATGGGTACAAGATGGCTCGCTCGACATCTTGTCTCCAAGCAATCTCTCTTTCCACTAGCTGACCAATGATCCTTGGTATGTTCGTTTTCATCTTCACCTCCTTCTCTCTTTCACTGTTCTTGCTCTACCACTTAATTGCCATTTTCATCTTGGTAATCACCTCGTCGAAGGAGGTGAGCGCAGCGACCAATGCCACCTGCACGCCCCACCACAGCGCGCAGGTGACTCCTCCATAAACAAGACGAGCGCTTGTTCTATCAGTAGAATAGATCCACAGTATTGATCCTAACATGTATAGTAGTGTGAGAAGCCAATAGCCACGGTAAAAGTCGCGTCGTAGGTCGTCGTAACTCGAGGTCTTGTACCACTTGGAGCGATGTATTGACGTCAGGACGCCGTACTCCAGCGCCTGCGTCGTCATAGTGACCAACAACACGATGGCAGTCAGTGTCATGAAAGATGCGGCCGCCGGTGCGAGGTGTAGCGCTAGCGCCAGTAGCTGCAACATCAGCCACAAGAAGCACCGCCCCAGTGACCACATTAATGCCATCACTACGAAATATAAATACAAAATATTGAAAAGGGAGATGCTTATTCATCACAAAATATATCAAACCTAATTGGTCAAAATGCCAAAATGGAACATATTATTGCAATTACGAAAAAGACTTTACGAAGAGACTTTTTACGGTTTAGTGTTGAGCTGGATTTTTATGCCATAGGCCATTTGGCTTCTTTTGTAATTTTTAAACTTTCTAATCGACTGCTTCTATATCTGCTGCTGGTGTTGCTGGTGCTGCTGCTGGTGCTGCTGTGCTGCAGGTGCTAAACGACGAGTGGTTTGGGTTGTAGACGGGCAGTTTGAAAGAAGCTGCCACGTGCTACGAGCACACACCTTCGAGCAGCGTGGGTTAGCGGTGTGACCGTCTTATCTCCGCGTGCGGTGGTGGTGGTGTTGGTCGGCGCTTAGAGCGCAGTACCAACTGTTGCCGGTCGCTTTTAAGCGAACCGCGCAACGAAGCTAAGAGCAAGCACCTAACTACGTCACGGAAGCTGTTTCCAGTCTTCTTGTGCGCAGTGAGTGTGATGTTGTAAATTCAAGACTGACTTATATGTGGTGGAGTGGATTCTCAAACAACGTAGGAGATCCACAAACACACACAGCGCCGGACTGCCGACTTACGGAGGGGTTACCCCGATACCGTGTCGTGTTGGCATTGGGTCTCACCTTGTGTACCCGTCGGCTTGGCTGGTCTTGCTCCTCGGTTGACGTAGAAGACTTAAACTTGGTCTTTGTATAAGACTCGGACTTGGTGGTCCCCGAGTGGATATACTTCACTTGGGACCGGGTTTCTTGGGCTCAATAGACTTAGTCGAGAGCGATGCACCTGGTACTATGTACCCCTCTGGTGGCTGACTATTCTTGGTCCTTGGACCCCTTTGTGTTCTTCCCCGTAGGGAAACCGCTTCCTGTAGCGGGTCGTAGAGTGTTGACACTTACTTGACACCTCAGGCCAACTATCCTGAGGTTCAACTTGCGTTGCTTTAGTTGTATAACACCTGCTGGACGTCGGGGGGCCAAAGGGTATCCCGCCCGGAAGAGGTGTAGCAACGGAGAAGCTTAGGAGGGGCGCTTAAAGCTGCCACGTGTAATGCAAATTCGAGTGTGTTTATTTATCTTATACCTTGTATGCTTTTCTTTCCTAACCCTAACCCTTTGATCTGGAAAGTGCCACGTGCCGACTCTTGGAGGAAGGACTGGCTCCTTGGTACCCTGTACTTTCTGTAATCTTCGATATTCTGTGTACCGGTTCTGCACCCTCGGACATTGGGCCCTGGTACCCCTGGGCCTCGGTACCCTGGGCCCCGGCACCCTGGTACCCCTAGGCCCCGGTACCCCTGGGCCCCTGGGCCCCGGTACCCTGGTACCCTTAGGCCCCTGGGCCCCGGCACCCTGGTACCCCTAGGCCCCGGTACCTTGGCACCCCTAGGCCCCTGGGCCCTAGTATCCTGGTACCCCTGGGCCCCTGTTACCTGGGGTCCGCATGTTGCCTGGGGTCCACATGTTACCTGGGGTCCACCTGTCACCTGAGGTCCACCGGTCACCTGGGTCCACCTGTTGTCTGGGTCAACCTGTTGCCTGAGGTCCATCGGTCACCTGGGTCCACCTGTTGTCTGGGTCAACCTGTTGCCTGGGGTCCACCGGTCACCTGGGTCCACCTGTTGTCTGGGACCCACCTGTTACCTGAGGTCAACTTGAGCTGTCCTAGCAGCACTGGTCCTTTGGTCTGTAGTGTAGGACATCCTAGTATCTTCTCCGAACTCGGGACCTTGGACCAGTTCGGGACCCTGGTCACTCCCTTTCACTCATTCAAGAGAGTGACCGAGATCTTTCACGCCAGTTATTATAATAACTACGAAGGGCCCCCCATTTCTCTGGCACTTTTCCACAGCTGTCCCCTGCGCGCTGGTCTTCCGAACTGCGGCAAGACCCCGTGCATCCTTGTCCCGTCTCCTCAACATATAAGTAGGTGTCCATGTGCTTGACGATCTTTCGTATCCACCAACTCACCCACCCTTTATTTACCAGTATCTTCTTCCAGTTCTTTCTCCGACGAACCCCCAGCACCTGGCCGTTTGTCTACCCCTCCACTGCCTGGACCTGACCCTGCCTTGGTTATTCCGACTGTAGACCTTGTCGGGGAGCCCCCCGATTATGCGAGTGTTACCCGGGCGTGGGAAGCGATCCAGCTGGCGATGGAACGAGCCCAAGTTATGGAGACCCTTGCTGACAATCATAGGGCCCTCAGCAGGCCTATCAGGCTGAGCATCGCCGGGCCCAAGACTTGCAGAGTCGCGTGGACGAGGTCGTTCGATTTGGAAAAGTTGATCTTCCCCGGATCGAGGCTCGAATTCGGAAGCTCGTCCGCGATCATGAAACCGACCAGCTAACCATTGCGGAATACCGAGATGCGCTCGCCACCCGGAAGGATTATCGCCTTGAAGTTGAAGCGTCTCGGTCCAAGATTCGGTACTGGAGGGGCCAGTATGAGGCCACGGTGACGAGCTTCACACTCCAGATAGAAGAGCTGGAGGCCAAGTTGGATACCACCACGGCCGATCTTCGGTCCACCGTATCTCAAGTGTCACTACTTCGAGATGAGCTGGCCCGCTCTAAATACCTCGTGAAGCAAGTCGCCTGCCAACGGGACCAGCTCCAGAAACAGCTGGCCGTAGCTCGGAGCGCCGCGGATAGATCTGCCTCGCCTAAGACTAAGGTCCCAGGACCTTCCAGGGCTAAAAGATCTAGGTCTCCTACTGCCAAAGTTCCAGCCCCTTCCTCATCGAAGAAGCGTCGGACCTCCCGTGCCCCAAGTTCCTCTGAAGACGAGTCCAGTAGCAGCGATGAGTCTCTGCTAGCGGCGATGGCTCGGTCACGTGCCTCTCGTCGTCGTGGTAGCCCGGTGACTTCCGTGGGGAAACCCGCTCCAGAGGTGGTGGACTTATCTCGTAAAACGACATCCGGCCCCTCTTCGACGTCTGTGGGATCTACTGGGACACCCAAGTCCGGTCCTCTCCCAGCATCGACGAAGTCCAAACCGGTGGGATCCACTGGGAGACCAAAAGTAAAGCCTCTTCCCAAACCGGCGGGGTCCACTGGAAAACCAACGTCCAAGTCTCTTCCTAAACCGGCGGGGTCCACTGGGAAACCAACGAAACCGGCGGGGTCCACTGGGAAACCAACGAAACCGGCGGGGTCCACCGGGAAACCAACGTTTAAGCCTCTTCCAAAAACGGCGGGGTCCACTGGAAAACCAACGAAACCGGCGGGGTCCACTGGGAAAACAACGTCCAAGTCTCTTCCAAAACCGGCGGGGTCTACTGGGAAACCAACGAAACCAGCGGGGTCCACTAGGAAACCAACGTCCAAGCCTCTTCATAAAACGGCGGGGTCCACTGGGAAACCAATGGCCAAGCCTCCTCCCGAAGTACAGACGTCACCTGCTGCTTTTTCCAGCTCGGAAAAAACGCCCACGCCTCATTCCGACCTGTTCATCCAGCTTTTCGGTCCTTCTGAGTCCGATACTGAGAGTCTCGACTCTGATGATCAAGGGGTGCCAGCATCCAAAGGTCCCGCTGGTTCCAACGCCTGGGGCCCATCCATTCCGGGATATGCCCAGCCAAGTGTGTTCAAGACCGAAGACGTTGCCCCATGGCCCGTCTCTATGGTGGGCCCCCTTGAGATCTCGCAATTAAGCGTGAAAGACCTGTGGTCCCGCATAACCCTTTCAGCTTCGTGGATGGGTCCGGGCCCCCCTTTAGACAAGAGATCCAAGGACCGCCTGGGCGAGACTAATAGTATCGTAACGGAGTCTCAGCTCCGGCTGTTGATGAACTCGCGCCCATGGGAGCAGCAGACGATGTCTGAGTATCCTCTCTCGTTCCCCGTAAACGGCTGGTTTGTTGGACTGGTGGAGCTCCACGATGCCTACGTAGACGCATCGCGACAGAGTTTGTGGGAGGACCGGCACCGTCTTCATTTCTCCATAGCTCTTCGTTCCGGCAGTGCGTACATCTCCCGCATTTACAATGCCAGGAAAAACGACGGGCCAAGGCGACACAGGCTTGGATGGGAGTGCTGAAGAAGGTCCTGCAGGGGATGGTAGCAGGTCACTGTGACTTGGACATCCTGCTGGACCCCTTCTTCCAGCCCGTTACCTCCACGCGTCAACTGTCTTACTGGACCCCAAGGGTCAACCAGGAGAGTTCTCAACCGGGGCTTATGGAGGCGTTGCAGGTGGTGGATGATGTCGAACCGTGGCGCATCTTTACCACAAGAACATCCACGAGCATCCCGCTTTCGGGGTTCCCCGTCTCCATGGCAAGTTTTCTCCACCCGACACCGCCTGAGGGTTATCACTAGCTTTAAGTGCATCCTTAATAAGCTGAGATAATGCCATTTCACCTCGAAGTCCCCAGCACATTCTCGATTTTCCTCTTTGGTGCCATATCTTAGGTAGGTAGTCCCTCGGTGTCCTCTACAGGTTAGCAATACTTCACTCTTCTTGTTCTGCTGCACTTCTCGAATACATGACTTGACCAATTTCTGTGCATGCAACACATACCACCTCCTTCTTGCATCATCTTGGCCTTCCCAAGACAAACTCTCCCCTCTACTCCTCATGGCTCTGCATCACCTCAAAACGATTCCGAGTGACTTGCCTGCGTTCGTAGTCCTCAAGTAGTCCACCGCAATTGAGGTCCACCTCGTCTACCCACGACGGATCGGAGTATCCTTTCCACTGCACCAGGTATTCACATTGAATACGACCATACCGAGTTTTTCTTCCCATGCGCTTGTCAAGAATCATCTCCACTTCATACTCATTGTCTTCCAACTCCGCATCCCAGCTATCCTCTGGTAGCAGGGCTTCGTCAAAATCCACTCGATCTGTTTCGTCCACCATTCGGTCTGTCGGGATATTGCCGAACTAGCTTCAACTTCGAAAGGTGCACCAACGGGTAAATGCGGTAATCGGTCCCACTGAT